TGTGTGTGTGTGTGTGTGTGTGTGTGTGTGTGTGTGTGTGTGTGTGTGAGTGAGAGTGAGAGAGCACTAAGTATCTCCTTCTCTGCTGTCTGTAGGCGTGTGGTGTCGCAGCCTGGTCTCAGATTATAAAGAGGCCTGCAGGGAGATAGTGCTTGGAGCCTGGGGGCGACCGGCCAAAGCCACTGTGTACTTGACTCTGATGGGTGGGGCCTCGGCTTGTGTCTACACAAACCCTGACCAGTCGTCCTTTGAGGCGGCCCTGCTGGAGCGCTCCAACCAGCTGGGCCTGCTGTCCCCGTGGATCCGCAACGCCACGTCGGATGGCCACATCCAGAATCTAGTGAAGCTTCGTAACGAGGGCCGTCTCCAACATGCCAGCCTGGGTCTTCTCTCTCTGGTTTACTGGGCCAACTACGACACGGACTCCGCACTGTACGAAGCCCAGTGCTCCAATCTGTCCATGCCGTGGTTGGAGTTCCATCAAAGGGTTCTGGATGTGGGCTTCGGCAGCCGCTGGTGGATTCTGGACTCAAAGATGCGGGACTATGATGTGAACGAGGATGAGTTCAAGAACTTGCCAGCTCACATGCAGGTATCATCGCCACCCAGCGTTCAGGAGGTGGAGAAGAACGAGAGGTTGCACAAAGAGTCCTGGTTAGCGCTGAAAGTGGAGGACGAGGTAAAAGAGGCTCATGTAGTTGACAGAAAGGAGGAAAAGGTTAGTGAAGAACAAACAGAACCAGCGAAAGAGGAACAGACTTGATGTTATATACTGCTAGAACAAAATGCTGTTTATTCCCATTGGTCATGTATTGCTGGCTTCTCATTTTTCAGCCATGACTGTCACACTGTTTACTGCTGCCACTGACCACCAGGAAAGAGGAAACATTCACGCCTTTATCTCATCAAAATAAAAGCAGCCCATCAGAATCAGCCTCAGCTGGGTTTTATTTATTCCAACATGTTTAGTCTCACAGAAAGTTTTACATTTATACCAGCTGTCAATAAATCTGTCACTTGTTTCCCAGTATCTCGTTTGTTTTATCTTGTTTTTCTCACAACTTCAATATATTTATGAAGATCTTCAACCTTTCCCTTTCAAGAATTTTTTTAAAAAGTGAACCTAAACTGGATTTCCTGAATTTCCTATATCCACTCTCTCAAATTATTTAGTTGTCTTTTATTAACTTGTATTTTGCCAAATTTTTTCATTATATCATTTTGCTCTCTTTGTTGCTGCTGTTAATGTAAAAATCTGTCCTCTCCGATTCTTTTCTCCAATTGTTGAATGTCTGTAAAATGAAAGCTCTATGGAAGAAGTCTCTCTCTCTCTCTCTCTCTCTCTCTCTCTCTCTCTCT